TAAAATGGGACAAAATTAACTTAACAAATGTTTCGCTTAGCAACAGAAATTTGGGGCTTGATTGTGGTCGTAAATCGAGGAGTAGTACCTGTACTGAGTAGTCCTCACCTAACCAGTTGCTTAGCGACCCATTCGAAGTTACAATAGAGCCCAGCACCACTGATAAAAGCTATTTAGAATCTGGTTCTGGAGTTCCAATGGCCAGTAGTCATCTGACTATATTTCTGGTGCTTGGCAATTGGCTGTCAGCGTTCTGCAGTCACATGACGCAGTTGTGACATTTTTCACCTCTTTCCAGTCTTTCAGCCCATAGGAATACAGAGAGTCCTCGACTTACAACAATTCGTTTAGTGACCTCTCAAAGTTACAATGGCACTGAAAAATGTGACTTATAAGTGTCCATTTTTCAATTATGACCTTTCCCCATGGTCATGTGATCAAAATTCAGACGCTTGGCAACTGCTTCATACTTATGACCGTTGCTGTGTCCCAAGGTCATGTGATCACTTTTTGTGACCTTCTGACAAGCAACATCAATGGGGAAGGTAGATTCACTTAACAACCAGATTACTAATTTATCAACTGCAGTGACTCACTTAACTGTGGCAAGAAAAGTTGTAAAATGGGGTAAAATTCACTTAACAAATGTCTCACTTAACAACATAAATGTTGGGCTCAGTTATGGTCGTATGTTGAGGACTACCTGTACATGGATTCATTTAACAACCACAGCGTAACAACTGCTGCAGAAAGAGTCTTGTCATGTGAGTGCTTTGACTTATGACCATCATAAATCATGACTTATGACAGAAATTTCAGGCTCCATTACAATTGTAAATCAAGGACTACCTGTAAACCCGGGTTTATTATTTTCTATCTCCTGACATCTCTTTCCTCAATAAAGAAAACAAACCAAGGCCACATCAGGATGTACGTAAGAAGTATATAGGAACAGAAATGCAAGAAACGTGACATCTTGGAAAATATGACATAAGGGATTGAGCTCCCAGTGTATACAGGTCCTTCCAATATGTTTTGTCCAAAGTCATATCAGATGGCTGTTCCCATCATCCCTGATGGCTCTGCCTATTAGAAGCTGGAGTCCTACAAGATTTGGGGCAGCACAAGATTAAACCATTGGATTAAAGTGGGAGTAGAGGAGCAAAATCTGGAGCAGAAATGTTTCACACTGAATCAAAAGTGAGCTCCAGTATTTTGTGCAGGTGGGCATTGCAGACTGCTCTTTTATTTACAAAAGATCTCCCAGCAGCACAATACTCAGTTGCCTGGGGTCCAGCAAAGGACTTCAGGATTTTCAGATCTTTCCACCTTTTTTTTTTTTTTGCTACAGCTTTACAGCATTCCTTCCAAGGATGAAACCAGATGTTAAGTGGTTACGAAGTGCTCCAACTTGGCCTGAATATTGGGATGAAGGTCTTTGGTTTGGATTTAATGGTTGCCTGGGCAACAAGGATAGAGTGAAACTAGACAGTGGAAGGCTAAAAGGAGATGCCATTTTTTTTTTGCCTGAGCATGTTTCTTTAAGTTCACCATTGTTGGATAAGAGAAGTTCATACTAAGCCACAATGGAGCATTTGATGAGGTTGGATGAGATGCCTGGCATGTTTCTGAATTCCTAGTTTTTTTCTTGATTATTATGATCAGGTAAAAAAATGAACCAAAATTGAAAAAACTGAATAACTATTGGTATGCATGTCATCTGCAGGTTGACTCTGGTTCCTTGTAGCATGTGCAACAAACCAGAGTTAAAACTGACTACAGGGTGGGCATTTCCCACTTACAAGCATCCCCAAGCAATCTCTTTGTTCTGCTATGAGAATAGGCTAGGCTAGCCTAGCACAGCACAGCACAGCACAGAATAGAATAGAATAAGACCTTGGAGGTCTTCTAACCCAGCCCCTTGTTCAAGCAGGAGAACCTACACCATTTCAGATAAGTGACTGTCTAGTCTCTTCTTAAAAACCTCCCCATAATGTTGCTTCCATCTCATCCTTTAATCATTCTCAGTGGCATTAGTATTAAACAGAATTTTCTCCTTTATGCTGCTACCATCCAACAAAGGGAAGCTTTGAGAAGGGTTAAAACCCGTTAGGTTTTATCACTCATTACCTGTGTATTCACTCAGGTGGCTGCAGTGACTTGAAATAAAAGCAATAGGGCAGGAAGGGGTTTGGCAATATGAACCGCAATTGTCCTCCTGCTTGTTATGAATTCCTAACTGTTGCAATATTTTCAGGATCAGACTCAATAAAGATAATAGGAGTTAGAGCTTTAAATATATTTCTTTTTAATTATGATAGGCATTCTATATTCACTGAATATTCAAGGTAGAAGCGACGAGAATGGTGAGGGTGGCTCCTTATATATACAAGGGGTGGAGCTAGGAATGGGAGTGGTAAGTTATGAATACATTAAAGTCCAAAGAATAAGTTAACCTCTGATGTTTCATATATACATTATTTACACATTGGAGAATAAGGCATTTACATCTGACACTAACGATTTGAAAAGGGGTGAAAAACATTTGAGGGGAGCCATGGAGAAAGGCCGTGTCGCTTAGTAGGACATACCAGTGCCACCCAGACAGAGGTATCATCTCAAGCTCTGAATGCCGCTACTCTCCAAGATGAAACGGATAAGTGAAACTTCAAAACATTTGAAGTTGACTTTTCATATGAACATCTCAATGCGAAAGCCCAGCTTTCTCGTTAGGTTCTTGGTATGACTATTCCGGCATCCTGAGCCAGAAAATGAAGTTCTGTTTCCTCAAACCCAGGATGTTAAAAGAGTTATGATCATTTGCAAGGGTTCCAAACTGAAACATTTGCAAATAAGGTTAATAATTACTTGAGTTCTTTCCCTCCCCCTTCCCCATACTAAAGAAAGCCAGAGATTAGGTGTAGGCAAGTCTCTCTTCCCAACACTCCTCCCTCCTCCCATCTTCCTTCTGTGGGGGCGTTTGGCCAGCTTTACTCTTAAGATGGGTGTATTTTTCCTGGCATCAAATTGGCAGCGCCAGAAGCCAGCTCTGGAGACTATCCTGAATGGGGGAAAAGATAGAATAATAACAGAGGGAAGAACAGATGGAAATTTCGTGTGCTGGCCGTTTCAGCGAAGGAGATGTACACTACCGTGTTTTGCCCTAAGATAGCCCCACTCTCTGTAATTTGTGTGCATGTAGGTAGAGGATGGAAGTGAAAGCATGTGTGTGCTAGGAATCTGATATTTGCATGCAAAGTTTGCACTTTGGGCATGTGTGTGCAAAGCTTTGATAAGTCTACATGCAAAGCCTGCTTGTGTTTGTCCTTTTATGTCTGCATTTGATGTGCCTTCACCAGGAAATCTATTCCATTGCTGTGTTCCCTGCTGCCCCCTAGTGAAGAAAGAAAGCAATGAGACTCTGCTGTTTCCTTGCAGCTGTTGGTATCCGGTGCAGTTTGGCTTGTCATTACACAGCACCTCAGGGTTCCCCTGGATGAAGCCGCTCATTGTTTGTGTTCTACCAGCATCCAGGCTTCTGGACTCGGTTTCCAGAGCCACCTGTAGGATTTTTTACAGGAGCTGATTCGCTGAACTGCTTCCTCTCCCTTTTCCTCAGTTCAGTCACCTTTGATGATGTTTTTCCAAAGCTGTGCTCAGTGGGGACCAAGCCATAAGGCCAGCTACCTCCCTGTGCACCTTCTGTGCTCAAAGACAGCAATGGAGTTTCATCTTCAGGTTCCCTAGCATCTTTTAAAGCAGGGCCTTTGACTAAACGGTTTAAGAAGGTGATGCAAAAAGATTGGAGAATGAGAGAGAGAGAAACAGAGAGACCCAAGCCAGGAAAAGTAGATGCTTCACAACATAAACTTTGTTACAAGTCACAAGAGGCAGTAAACACCTTTCTCTCCCCATACCAGCAGCAGCTATAGCGATTGGAACACGGGTGTCAAACTCACCGCGTCACATTGCCGTCACGTGATGTGAAGCGTCACAACGTTTTTCCCATTCGCGGAGCTGGGGTGGGCGTGGCCTGCGCATGACGCATCCGGCCTGAGGACTACTAGTTTGATACCCCTGAATTAGAATAATGCAAGGCCTATCCCAGCAGGGCCTAAGTACAGCACCCAACCCTGAAAAAAAAAAAAGTGGTGTGACCTTCCATATCTAAGAATGAAGGGACAAAGCAGCTTCACTGGGTAGGGAGTCCCACAGCTTTGGTGCTGATGCTACCAAGGTGTCTCCTGCATGGTTCATATGGAGATGCTGAGGCTTTCATTGACCATGGAAAACAGTGATGAAGTCCAATTTTTTTTTACTACCGGTTCTGTGGGCGTGGCTTGGTGGGCGTGGTGTGGCTTGGTGGGCGTGGCTTGGTGGGCATAGCAGGGGAAGGATACTGCAAAATCTCCATTCCCACCCCACTCCAGGGGGAAGGATATTGCAAAATCTCCATTCCCACCCCACTCTGGGCCAAACAGAGGTGATATTTGCCCGTTCTCCGAACTACTCAAAATTTCCGCTACCGGTTCTCCAGAACCTGTCAGAACCTGCTGGATTTCACCCCTGATGGAAATTGAAAAACAGAAAGTAGAGAAACCATCCAGCCTGCATGAGCCCAGTTCTTGCTTTGGCTTCTAAGGTCATGGGCGCAATTCTCTGAGCTGCCCAGTCCTTCCAGCTAGCTGCCACTATTCGTCTCTTCCCCCAGTCTATGTGAGATCACAGTCATCTCCATGGCAACCTGCAGTGAGCTCATGTGCAAGAGCTGTGACTTCAGCAGGAACAGATGGAACTAAGAGTAGCAAAACATCCTGTTTTTATGCAAATGAGTAATATTTTTTTAAACAAAAAAGTGGAGGGAAGAGTGTACCAGGAAAGTTGTTTTTCTCTACATGCATGATACAGTATGTGTACGTGAGCAAAAAAATTTTTTTTAAGTTGCTCCATATGTAGGGGAGGGAAACAGAAACTACTTCTTTATTTTTTTAAGAAGGTAATCGCTAGACAATCAAGCTGCAATCAGGATGGTGCAAACAAACCTTCCCATGAAGAAAATTGACAGAATTGTGGCATACCTGTCAGATTAGCCTGAAGCCAGAAGGCCTTCCTTTTATTGGTTTTTGGGGAAAATATGACATTCTTCCCCACGGGTGCTTGAGGTTCAACATACAAAATACCCTTGGCTTTTAAAACTTGGAAGAAGCTTTATTCATTTTTTAACCTGAGGGGTACTGTGATCAGATAATTTCAGGAAAGCTTAATAATCTCTCCTGGTTATTAAAATCAGATATGAGATCTATTGCTCCTGACCCGGTGTCAGAGAAGCTATTCAATTCTCTCAAGAAGGAGGCATTGCTAACAACGTTCATGTAATAATTGCTCTCTCCCTAGCTAATTTTAAGTGGAGTATTCCCATTTTGTTCAATCAGGATATGTTGGGGTATGCGCACATGCTGTCTCTCAGGAATTGGTGGTAATCTGAACATATCTGTTAATCAATGCTGCAGGTCTTCACTTTGCCAGAAGAAAGGCACAAGAAGCTGAGCAAAGGCCAAGTGAGTCTTGATTGGAACTGTCTTTGGTTCTGAGAAGAGACCTCTCAAGATACTACTGTGGGTCATCACGATTGTAGTGCCCCTCCTGAGCTGCAAAATAGAATTTCATGTGAGCGTAAAGGACAGAGCCCTGTGCAAAAGCAGACCCACAAATTTTGAAGGTGAATTTAAAAAACAAAAAACAGGAGGAGGACTTCAGTGTTTCTGAATTTGTTAAATCTGATGAGGATGTGGCACGTCGAGCATCTCCCATACACAAGTGAACTTTTTTAATCAGAAAGGTCAGATAAATAACGATGAAGCTGCGTTTTCTGGGAATACGTAGTATTTAAAAGGAAAGAAAAAGAATATTCTTTTTGCCAGTTCAGCCAAGGACGCTTACACATGCCCACCTACAAACATAAGCAAATAATTTTGGCTATGGTGTAATATTAACGGTAACTTCGTTAGTAATTTTGTGGTTGAATTTTGAGTTGATGTGGATTCCAGCCCCATTTTAGAGACTAGTGACTAGTCCCCAAAACGTCAAAGACTAGATTAGGCAGTTCTCCCAGAGTCAACACTAATGCACATATGTACACAAACACATGTGGGAGTGCGTGTACACACACATGCACACACACAAGCTGCCAGTAATTGTTACAATGGCAACCTTGGGGATACAAAGCAACAGGATCCCTACTGTAAAAAAGCTTTTCAGTTTTATTTTCTGCTGCCTCTGAACTCAACAAGAACAAGAATCCTCTTCATTTGCAGAGCTGGACCAGCCCTTCACGGGGCTCCAGCAGTCAGGCTTCCTACATTTTTCTTCCTACATTTCTCTGCCTTATGCCAAAACTTGATTGGATTGTAGGTCCCTCCCCAATACACAAAGGTTCAGCTCAGGATGTAGAGACAAGACAGGAGTCCTTCTGTCTTCTGCAACCTCACCCTTAATAAGTCCATTAGGTTACCCTTCAGTGTTTTAAAATAGGAAGGATCTCATCTGAAATGAATAGCCTGGGTGAAAGGGGAGCCAGATGATATTGGGGGAGGGGGATTTCAACTTCAAGGAAGAAATAACAAAGGATATTTGACTCTAAACCAAGAAATCAAGGCAAGAAATCAAAGCAGCTCTTTTCATCTTAAATAGTTGCTGGGAAGACAATTATATCATAAAAGGCTGACTCCATCTTTCCCACTCTGATAAGTGTTGTACCTATAGACTAAAGAAATCTGGGCAAGAGCTTTTTCCCAGTTACTGAGATAATTCATATCTGGGTTCATACAATTTTTTTGAACCTTAGATTGTCCCAAATAATTAGGCACACACAACACGGAGGCCACAGAACAATAAATAAGGTTAAAACCAACCAACTTTAGATGTTGTACAAGAACCTCCATCCTTGCTGTTCTTTCCTGACCTTGTTACATGTGTCCTGCAAACAAGAGTTAATTTCCATTTAGTTTGCTTGCAATTGAACCATTCCCTCCTCTCTTTATTCACCTAGACCAGCCTATTTGGCCTGTCAATAAACCCTGCTATTAAAATCTGGATTCTACTTTTTTCCCCAGGTTGGTATAGGTATTTCCTTGCAATGAACCTCTGAGGTATTCAGGCTGAGAAATAATGAGTAGCCCGAGCTTGATTCATGAACCACAAGGCTCAGTAGGAATGAGGCACAGTGAAAAACTTCTCTGTCTTTTTGGTTTACTCTAAAGGAGGGGCAGAGTATGGAGTGGTAAATGAACGGGTGAATTGAAGATAGGTCACTAATTTTGGAGGGTCTTGGTCTCATGGCGGAATTAATCATTTTCTAATTATTCCTAAGCTCTTTAGATAAGAAAGGCATTATCTATTGCCAAGCACCACTGTAGTTTCTGAAGAAATGAACAACAGGCATAATCATGTACGTGCAAAAGTAGTTATTCACAAAGAACAGTTTAGAAAACATTTTTTTTTAAAAAATATTCTGGGGATAAATATAATCCTAATGTGTAAAGGCATAAAACCCCTTTGTCAGGGACTATTTTCCTTGCCCTTTTCTGTATCTTTTCCAGCTAACAAATTTATTTATTTTTTTATTTGTAGCAATTAGAATAATATGCAGCATTACAAATACCAGTCATGCCTTACATTTGTATCAAGGCAATGGCATTTTTATTTTGATCCATTTCATGATTCTTAGCCTGCCCCTAGTTTTTTTCAGATGATGCTTACTAAAATAACATTTTCACAAAGCAATCTGCTATGACCTCAAGTTCCTTTCCTTGGTCAAGCACAGTCAATTTAGAACTCCAAAAATGGTAGTTTTCATTGCTGTGATGAAATTTAAGTGATGGTGATGGTGATGTCATCTGCCACGAATGGAGTCCAGTTCCTGAAGACCACATGAACATTTCCATATTTTTTCTTACTTTGTTATTGTCTTCTTCCATTATGTTTTGTTTTTGCTGTCTAATCCACAGTAGTCTAATCTGCAATGCTGAGTTTTCACAGTTGTCTCCCAGGTACTGTGTTATCTAACCCTACATACCGTGTTTCCCCCAAAATAAGACCCTGTCTTATATTTTTTTGAACCCTGAAATAAGCGCTTGGCCTTATTGCCATGCACTCAAAAGCCCAATTGGGTTTATTATCAGGGGATGTCTTATTTTGGGGGAAACAGGATAGCATTTTGACATTAGCTGAAGTCAGCTACACAGAGTCTCTGGTTGTGATTTAATTTTAGAGACTGGTGTAATGCCCAGAAAAGTAGTCATATTTGTTGTAGCAGAAGGAATAGGACATCTTGGTGTTATTAAAGGATTAGGTCCAATGCTGTCACTTCATCTAATAAACCTGCTGTTAAAATCTGGATTCAAGTTGTATATACAGATACAGACCTACAGTGTGATCGTTGGGATATCATTCGGACTGGAGAAGTGTGACCAAACAATAGTCAAGGCAGAGAAGATAGTTAAAACTGATGGGCGGAACCACTATCAGTGGACCACATAGCAGACATACAGACCAGTTATGGTATCCCATAATCACATGGAAATCACAATGTGGAGGCAAAGAAGACAAGAACATCCAAATACCACCAAAGAACAAGACAGGTGCTGAAGAAACAGCTCAATGAGAAGAACAAGATCCATGCCATCATCATGTATGTACTGCCAACCATCAGACACATTGCCAGTATAGTCAGCTGGCCAAAATAGTACATGGAGACTGTCAGCTGTTCAAAACAGTACACAAAGACTCCAAAGCTCCTTATAATGTATGAAGGTTTCCACCCAAAATCCAGCATTCAGACACTGTACGTCAACCAGAAAGAGTGTGTGTCAGCCACACACCATGTCAAAGCCACTGTCTTGGATGAAACCCAGAGTATCCAGGAGTACATCAGTAAGATGTCACCCAAAAATAAATGGCTGAGAGAATGTCATAGACAACATCAGGCACGGGAGGAAGATCAAACAGAAGTGCCATGCCAGACAAGACTGTGCAAGGGATGTACCTTCTACATTAAGGTGAAGTGACTGATATTGGAAAATACTATCAATGTCTGAAATTAAAAGACAGCATTGAGGCACTAGTCACAACAGCACAAGAACAGGCAATAAGCACCAGATTCGTAGAAGCAGGGCTCTACCTACTACACTAGACAGGACCTGAGGTTCGGATTATGAAGAGAGGCCTTAGAGATAGTCCAACATTTAGTAGCAGGCTGTAAGAGGTAGGCAAGAACAGGATGCACTGCACGGCACAACCAAGTAGCTGCCATTGTGTACAGAAACATCTACAGAGCATATGAGCTAGAGCTAGACCTTCCCAAGTCCAGATCAAACATTCCATATAGAAGATTGTGGAGAATAACAGGGCTAAGATTCTCTGGGGCTTCCAGATCTAGATAGACCAACAGGTACTGGCCAATCAACCAGACATTGTAGTAGTAGACCAGAAGACTGTGGTGGTGATTGATGTAGTGGTGCAAGATGACAGCAACATCAGGGAAGGAATATGAGAAGTTGGAGAAATAACCATAGCACTTAAACTTATATACTGCTTCACAATGCTTTACCGCCCTCTCTAAGTGGTTTACAGAATCAGCATATTTCCCCCAACAATATGGGTCCTCATTTTACTCAGAAGGATGGAAGGCTGAGTCAACCTTCAGCCTGGTGAGATTTGAACTGCCAAATTGCAGGCAGCCGGCAGTCCGCAGAAGTAGCTTGTAGTACTGCACTTTAACCACTGTGCCACCGTGGCTAATAAGAGGGCCTGAAGGAAAAACTACAGAAGATGTGGAAAGTAAAGGCCAAAGTAGTCTAAGTGGTGGTAGGAGCCCTTTGGGCTGTGACTCTTAAGCTGGAAGAGTGGCTCCAGGAGATCCTAGGAGCAACATCAGAGCTTTCTCTGTCCAGAACAGTGCAGTGCTAGGAATAGCTAAGATTACTGTGCAGAACTCTGAAGCTCCCAGGCTCCTTAAAATCCTGTAAGGTTTCGCTTTATTCCTTTACCAAGTTATTTAAATCTGAAATCCTAGGTCTTCACTTCCTTGCGCTGTCACCATTTAACTCCGCAGCTCCACTCTACTCTGCTCTTTGGTTGCCGCTGCCTTCCGGGCAAAAATCTGCCCTTTTCCTTAGAGTCTCTTTCCGCTTCACCAATCCACAAACAATCCTCACCTCCTTTCTGGTGATATTTCGATATATATACATACATACATATGTATTTCTCTTTAGCCAGGCTGTCACCACTCCAGATTGGCCAATATGGCTGATTTCTTCTCTGCCGATTTTAAGAGATTTCCTCCTATCCGTTCAGGGGATTGCTTTCACCTCAACATCTTCAGAATGTCCTCTTTATCCTGTCGATCTCTCCGGGACCGACTGTGCCCTTAAAGAGCTCCTGGCAGTGAAATTTCGGGTTGCGGGTACGGAGCTCCATTCCCTTGCCCGCTTCACAATGACGTCACCGCTGGAAGTCCAGGGATTTTTTGTAAATATGAGTAGCGCTAGGAGCCATCTATCTGGAATACTTTTCACTTATGCAGAGTACTTATTACAACAACTTGACAGCAAAAAGAACTCTTCCTTCTCTAAAAGTACACATCATAATATGATTTCATGGAACAAATGCAGCAAAAAAAAAAAGTTGCATTTTTGATTTGGCTGAAGAGCTCATAGAAGCAGCAACAATAGCAAACCCAATAATTA